TGGTCTCCCCATGACTCCCATGGCTCCCTGGTCTCCCCATGACTCCCGTGTCTCCCCTGGTCTCCCCATGACTCCCTGATCTTCCCTCATCTCCCCATGGCTCCCCTGGTCTCTCCTGGTCTTCCCATGACTCCCCTGGTCTCCCCATGGCTCCCATGACTCCTCTAGTCTTCCCACATCTTCCCTGGTCTCCCCATGACTCCCATGTCTCTCTTGATCTCCCCATGACTCCCATGACTCCCTTGGTCTCCCCATGGCTCCCCTGGTCTCCCCATGACTCCCATGACTCCCCTGGTCTCCCCATGGCTCCCCTGGTCTCCCCGTGACTCCCATGGCTCCCTGGTCTCCCCATGGCTCCCTGGTCTCCCCGTGACTCCCCCCTGGTCTCCCCAGAACCAGGTGATCGCCTTCTCGTGGGAGGAGATGCAGCGCTGGGACACGGACGAGGAGGGCATGGCCTTCTGCTTCGAGTACGCGCGGGGCGAGAAGAAACCGCGCTGGGTCAAGATCTTCACCCCCTACGTGAGTGTCCCGGACCCCCCCGGATACCCCCGGATCCCCCCTGGACCCCCTCGGACCCCCCCGGGAAAATGGGAAACCGGGAGGCTCCCGGGATCCCCCCGGGAAAGCGGGAAGCTCCTGGTTCCCTCTGGAGCTGCTTTGGATCTGCTGGTTCATCCCTGGAGCTCCTGGTTCCCTCCGAAGCTACTCTGGAGCTCCTGGCTCATCCCAGGAGCTCCTGGTTCCCCTCTGGAGCTCCTGATTCCCCTCTGGAGCTGCTCTGGAGCTCCTGATTCCCCTCTGGAGCTGCTCTGGAGCTCCTGGTTCCTCTCTAGAGCTCCTGGTTTATCCCAGGAGTTCCTGGCTCATCTCAGGAGCTCCTGGTTCCTCTCTGGAGCTGCTCTGGAGCTCCTGGTTCCCTCTGGAGCTGCTTTGGATCTGCTGGTTCATCCCTGGAGCTCCTGGTTCCTCTGGAGCTGCTCTGGAGCTCCTGATTCCCTCTGGAGCTCCTGGTTCCCTCTGGAGCTGCTCTGGAGCTCCTGGTTCCCTCTGGAGCTCCTGGTTCCCTCTGGAGCTGCTCTGGAGTTCCTGGTT